TAAGGTAGTAATATTTATTTATCCATTCAATACAAGTAATTTCAGCCTCTCACCCTATTAGTGTCAAACTTCGTACATCCAGAACTGGTCGATGTGACGTCTTCTTTGTCCCTAGGGTATCAAGTTTGAGGAACATATCTACAAGAGGAGGCGTTCAGCAGTTTCACTAACCTTAGGCAATCCAAAAATCGGATAAATAAAGTTTATTTAAGCCCCTCGTAGCATTTCGGGTTCTACCTGCTCAGCTGTGTAAAAAACACACAAAATACACACACACACACAAAATACAATTAGTCTATAGGAGGACAACACCTGTGTCACAATTAGATATTTATAGATTTCTTGAAAATAGTGAAAAAATAAAAAGTAATATGGTCCTGGGATCCCACTATGTTTCCCCATGTACGCTCAACACGAATATTGAATCAGAATTTGGGGTCGCTTAATATAGAAGAATGTAATCTGACATCAATATTTTGTGGCATTTTTGGAGGATGTGCATCTCTTTAGAGATATCTTAAGCCGCGCACAGACCGAGATCCCAACGCAAGCCAAGGCACATGTGGTTACAAATTTGGAGGTGTTCGAATCGGTATGTACGGCGTGAGCCAACATAAATCAGCGGTTTCCACGGGAGCGTTGGCGTTCGATTGCGTTCGCTCCTGGATCGGTACATCAAAGGGACGTTTGATTTGGTCTGGGCAGGATTTGTTACGATGAGAGAAGCATCGTCGCTCGACATTACCACCGAACTGAACCCAACGCGATCCAACTCAAAACTAAATGTAGGTGTAGAGGAGCGCATTCCAGTACCTTCCAACAACAAACGCTAACGTCACATGTGCTTGCATTAGTATGCTCGGCGTTGGATTTTCGGTCTGTACGTATATGTAGCTTTAGAGATACACATCCACAGACAAAATCCCTCAGTTGCTTTCTTATTTGTTCGGCGCTTGCAATTCTGACGTGTTTAGCGTGGAAAAGTACATGGGAAAACGTAGTAGGCAGTAACAAATTTTTTCTTTGTTTTGTGGGCCTGTGACATCTTAGTTAGCTAAGGGCCCCAATTAGCTTCATATCTTTTACCGTTTCCGACACCTCATTGGAGCAATTTCACGTGTCACGAACTAACAATCACACGACATTTTTGACAATTTCTGTCATATTGGTTAAACATAACAGGAGGTATAACACACTTTATCAGCAATGACTTTAGCACATTTTGCTCAACTAGTTTTGAGGAACCCCGAATTAGTTTAACTGGATTTCATAGAGTAAAGATTTGTGGATATCACATAATTATCTGAATAGAAGGGAAAAGCTTTCTGCGGAATGTCTTGCCGAAATGGGCGTAGACGATTACATTATTCAAATAACACGAAAAGGATATGGATATTTTATAAGTAGTTGGGAGATGGTACTCAAAACCAAACGAAGTGCGAAACGTTTCGGAATTTTAAATTGCAGCTAATTATAACTGACTTTAATATGGAGCAAAAACTGTTAACGCAGCAAAAAACACTAACTGCTGCCTTTAAAAGGTTTGGATCCGAAGCTGGAAGAACAGATGAAGATTTAGTCACGGACTGATATAAAAATTCAAAGCTCCACAAAATATCCAATTTCATAATAATGTAACTATTAAATAAGAAAGTATAGATCCTTTCAAGACAAGGCGCCCAAGGTGAAATGCGTTTTCTAGGTCAGTAAATTCCAGGATATGGAATTCCATCTTCAAGGCTTTCTGGGAAAGATACCAGTATTGCGTATAAGGACATAGTTACTCAATAAAACAGCGACACAAATAATCATGTAGTTTTTGACTATTAGGTTAACATTACCGTGGAATTGCTCATTACTGATATCTGATTGTCCTTGTTACATTGATTCAATATTCTTCAATCGTCTTGAGGTGGTCCTTACTTTTTCTGATGACGCATTTCTTTGAGCGGAGGAAGATAATGTCCCAGGAATATTGGTTCTGCTTACGTGACATTTTTCTGTTGGTACATTATTTCAAGTGCCAAATAATTCATTTATTCATAGGCTTCCACTCATATTGTTATGTTTTCATTTGGAAACGAATTGAGATGGAATAAGTGACATTTGAATTTCATATGGGCCGAACCGTACGTGATGTAGAGTTGACATACGTTGATGGAATATTTTTATAGCAAATATATATGCAAAACAGCCGTCTGGCCTGAAATTACTTGTCTGGCTTTTTATTTCGGCCGTTGAATATGCAAGTGTACATACACATTTTTCAAGATATATGGTCTGTACATATCCTACATGAAAAAACACGCTTAGGTCTCTGGCCAATGGTGTCTCTTCAGAAAATTGAAGCGAAACCGCGAAGCCACTGACTTGGAGGGAAATTGACTTCGACATTCCGCTTTGACCTTGTAGGACACATTACTAAGCGGTTCATACTTTTTGAGCAATCTTTTGTATGGACCTGAGGTTTTTAGTGTGGTAGCTTTCATATATGCATCATTCATTTTAATCCTTTAAAGAACGGCATGCACTCCCAACTAACAATTATCACTCCTATTAGAATTGCAAGAAGGATTATACAGTATTCCTTAAACGTCATTGTATACTGTAAGAACATCAGCAAAACCCTCTTAGAACAGCTATACAAGCCGAATGGGCACACCTAATAGGACACTTCAGTCATTTAAGAGGTTGTATAATGGCTGCAGGTAACAGTTATAAAACAAAAGTGTAAGCCTCTTGCAGCCGCTATAGGACATTTGCGTCAGTGCAAGATTCAGTTTTTGTCAACTACACAACTATTCTCTTACGTGATTCTACTTTATTGCAACCAAACTATTTCCTATGTATTGTATAGACGAAGTGAAGAATATATAACTAACACATTACAGTCATCTTGTTTACTTACATATCGGCCATTGTGAATTTCATACACAGGTATATGATGAACTTCTACACTTTGATATAGGGCTATTGAATTACTTGCGCAGCAAATTTTATTGTGATTATCGTGCAAATTAGTTACCCAATTTCTACGGGCTTCGTATTTGATTCATATTTTGACAATTATGTCTAGATTTTTAAGATTGAAAACTGAACTTATCTGCGTTAAATCTTCCACAAATCCTATATTTAGACACAATTACACTAATGTTTATCACTTTATATCTGTAATTTCGAACTGAAACATAATTATTTAATATTAAATAGAGGAATAAATGTTTGCCCAATATGGCGGGTGGTTGTGTACAATCAAGGCATCGCCCATGTTGTCTTTAGGTTATTAGAATATTTGGTGTTGCCTGCAGGTGTTATACAACAATTTGACAAGTGTCTGAAATGAAATACCGACAGAGTCGAATGATTTACCCAGAATTTGTACCAGATCTATATCTTCTGTTTGAACAGTTGATAAAAGCTTTTGAAGCGATATGCATGCGTTGTTTGTCTTAAAATATTGGTTATGGCATTTTAACAAAAATATGACAGCAGAAAGTTAGGTTATGGTGAAGTTGTTTACCAACATATTTGGCATATGTAACAGTTGTATAAGTGCTTCCGTTGGGAGCAATTTGTTGGCTAATGTAGTAAATTGCACAGCAAAGCAACAAGGCTCGGGTTTGTTTTATAAACGTTAGCATGGGTGCCACAACACAACCATTTTGACTAACTTGCAAATATGCTGTATAAAATAGTTGTATAAACGTTTATGCAACAGTTAAAAATTTGCCCTATAAGGTGTTGTATAACTATGCTATAAGAATATTTTAAGCACCTCATTTTAGAGCAAATATGTTGCAGAAAGCAAATTTGCATTCCACACAACATTAAGCCAGCATTTTGGTGTTCAGGCAACAACAATAGAGAGCTTTTATGGCTGAACGGTTCTTTTACCAAAAGCTTATACCACTACTTTGCTAGTTGGGCTCAGTCTGAGTCAACGTAATATCTAACTTACTTCTAAGGTTCTTATAAGTAACAGCTTTTCAATCCATTTCTTCGCTTGTCTGCAGCTTAACTGCACTAATAAATGCATGCTTTGGTTTCAATACGAGTAAAGCAACTATTCAAAAAATGCGAAAAGATTTAAATAGGTTTGCGCTGAAATAACGCCGTGATTAGTGACTGTTCGATATTTTTTGACAATGAGCAGTAATTTGACGAGATACCAAACTTACTTTGGAAAAACGTAAAATCTGAAATTTCCCTAGATGAGGGACAACAATCATCATAATATACTGAGTGACTAAAAGAGGTAACAGCTACGTATGTTTATCGAATTTTAATAATTTCTGGCATATTTGTTCAGCGTCCATTACTAGTAAAATGATTAAATTTTCAGCTTGAATAGTCAACTGACCGGCCAGAAGCTAGCTCAATAATGTGTTGAGGGTCCACGATTTCTAATATACTAATGGCCGATTGCACCAACGACTTTACGGATAACTTATTCGTTTCTTAACTTTAAGCAATACTTAAAGGTGCATTTTCGGTTGCACCAACGAAAAGTGGGGATTAGTCTCCGATTAAACTGTCCTTAGTTAAGTGGCAGCTAACGATCACTTAAACGGTACTTAGCGCTCAGTGTGGTACATGGTTGCCAGCTTGAAGATTTGTCGCCATATTGGTGATTTTCGATATACTTAGCGACTATTTTTTGACTATACAACTAGTTATTTTTCTGGCAACTAAACCAAACTGGGACTATTTTTGACTATACTGGTGCCAAGTACTGTGATAGAAGAGATATAATTGGTGATTTTGTCGACGTTTCTCCCATCAACCGGCGAAATGATTGTCGTTGGACCTGCAACGTGGCAATCGTGCGTGGGAAAACATAACCAAATAGTTTTGTCAAATACCAAAACAATTCTATTTTATATTTTCCTCTGTGTGGTGTAGTATAGTGCTTTCTGCAGAAGGCCTTTTTGGTGTATATTGACTTGTTTTTTTGTTTCGTCTTGATCAACTCCATTTTATATTTGATGTGATACCTCAAACAGGACCTTGAGCTGTAAAGTGTAGATATCACCCTACTCAGGTTGTATTGTGTTCGTGTGAGTTACAATGGAGTACTCATATTTGGATTATTTGGGCGACCTACCAGATATTCTGGATGATGATTTAGAGCTGATAGATATTATCGAGGTGGGACTACCCAGGCGCATTTATAGTCGGCCAAATTACTTTGAAGAAATGGAGCCACCGGGTTTTTTCAGAAGGTTCCGGTTATACAAGGAAACAGTGTTGCATGTATTATCGCAACTAGATGATCAATTAGAGTATCATCATGACAGGTATATAAGTTGACCCACTTCTAAGACAAATATCTATATGAATGCATTCATTTTAGGAATCACAGCATTTCACCAATGAATCAGCTTTTATGCTGCTGAGGGTACTATGCCAGTGCAGGCCATATTAGGCAAACTGCTGATTTTATGGGAATGGATGCAAGCATAGCCTGCAGAACTGCTGGAAAGGTATCAAGAACTATAGCCAGCTTATTCCCAAGTTATGTCAAAATGTCCACAGAAGCTAATATCATAATGGAACAGAATAAATTTTATCATATTGCTAGGATTCCTAAGGTCATAGGTGTTGTAGATGGTACCCAAATTAGGATTCAATCTCCTGGTGAGTGTTACATCTCAAAGTCAACATTCAGATTGAGTTGCCTTTTGTGATTTGCAAATTTGACCATTTTCCAACATGTAGTATTCATAGCAATCTTATCATATGCATGTGCTTTGCATTAATTTTTGATTATTCATTTTACTGTGTTCAGTGAAAACCTACATAAGTTTCCTACATATGAAAATGTTTACCATGATCATATTGCTGTGATCAACTATGATGTACACAAATCACTATTTTCTTCTAGGAGGAAATAATGCAGAGAGTTATCGAAACAGAAACGGTTATTATTCCATGAATTTCCTGATTGTAGCAACTGCAGATCTGAAGTTTATGAATGTTGTAGAACGGTGTCCAGGATCATCGCATGATGCTACAGTATTCGACCATAGCGACTTGAAGATTCGTTTTGCACTAGGACATTTTCCTAACTGTTTATTACTAGGTATGTTTATTAATCATTGAATAACATAGAAAATCGTATATGTCGTATTGTGCTCAAAGTTGGGAATTTCCATCATATGACATGACGTTCCCAACATGCATACACATGTTCAGCTTTATGCAAATTGTTGTGAGCTTACCCCCTAGTTTTTGGGCTAGCTTGACTAAATAATATCTCATTGAACCCCTTTATGCAACAAAGAGCCAACCAAAAAAATAAAACAAATGATATCAACTTAATGTGAACCAACATTTGAGTATTTAGCTGGAGGCAATAGTTAGCAAACACTGCTAACTCTAAAAGTAACTTCAATGTATGATGGTTCTATATATAGTAATATTGTTGCCTCTAGCTAAATACAGAAATTGGTTCCTTGTTGCATACTGTTCATACACATTAGCAATTCTGATTGATATACATAATTTAATACTTTAGGGACAATGGCTACCCAAGAAGGAATTACTTACTAACACCATTATTGAACCCTACAACAAGAGGCGAACAACTGTACAATGTAAGAACCAGAGTAGTTGTTGAAAGATCAATTGGGGTTTGGAAAAGAAGATATGCTATAGTGGCATATGGATCACGATTAAAATTAGAGACTACAAAAGGATTAATCATTGCAACAACAGTGTTGCACAACATTGCCAGGGAAATGAATGAGCCAGAGACACCGCCTCCAGAAAATATAAGTGTACAAGAGCTCAATTATTTAATTGCAACACAGGATATGGAAATGCCTACAATACAGAATCGCAATGTCAACACTGCTCAAGAAGAAATGATTAATTATTTTGGAAATCTTTGAATGTTCCTTTTTTTCGTGTTATAATGCGAGGAATAAAATACTTTTGTTATATTTTCCCTTTTATTGTTTTTTCATCACAACTACCGCCTTCAAACAAAACTATCACAAACTACAGTCTTCAAACAAAACTAAAGTATGAAACCGTCTAATTAAAAAACAAAACAATATATTAAGACATTGCAACATTTGTTTAAGTAGAATATGAAGAAACAAGTGTTCTTGATTAGTAAAATTGTTGTGGTCTAGCCTAGTCACATCTGTGCTTATGTAACAAAAATAACACTTTGGTACTTGAGAGTTAAATTTCATTTAAAAGAAACAGGTATAGAATACAAAATAAAACAATAAACCATTAATAAAATAGTCTTATGTATAATGTGTCGTTCTGCCTAGGGCCTTAATGAGTCTAATTGCCGCTTTTTAATGTCATATTTTAACGCTTGTACCCTTAATTCATGTTCAATTCTTGCATAATCAATTTCTTGTTCGAGCTTCTTCTGAACATGGTCTGCAATAACATTCTTTTTATCAACCAACAAGTTGTATTTTTCAGCGAGCTGGTTTGATGACAGTGACCTAATGACTGTCTCAGTAGGTCTTCTACGATTTGATGGCTTGCAGGTATTAGCACGTTTGCTTTCTTGGCTTTCAGCCTTATCGCTTTGTGCTGGCTAAAAAAGGTTGAAACATATAGTGGAACTATTTAAAACTGTGAATGTATGTTATTGTACAAGATATATGTAGTAAACAAAGACCACTTTATCATACAGATACTCACTTTACTGATAGATCGCTTCAATTGAGCTGAAACAGGTTTTTTCAAATCTGCCCCTTCCTTCCATCCCCTTGATATATCTGCTAGTTGCTCCATACTCCTGGAACTGTTTTCTTGATTCCCATCTTCCATCAATTATGATGATTCAGTGATGAAAACAGTTGTAAGCAAAAATTAATACCTCAACAGTGATCTGTTCGTTCCTGCTTATTGAATGTAACTCTACAACCATTCAGATAGCTACAGTGAATATGTAATTACACAAATTACTTGTAAAGTCACAATCATGAATATCACACAATATTTCCACCAACTTCAACATTGAAAAGTAAATAAAGTAGAATGTCTTTCCTCATATATACTTTCCCGACCTTTGGAAGACAGCTCTGGTGACTCCTCTGCCAAAATTGTCTAATCCGATATCCATCGCTGACCTCAGACCAATAAGCATATTGCCAATAATGTCTAAAATTTTAGAACGAGTAACTTATACACAGATTCTCGATCATCTCAATGCACATAATATAATCCCCACCCATCAATCAGGCTTTCAGGAAAACCGCAGTACAACTACAGCCTTGTCTTATCTCATTGATAGCATCATATCTTCCATCGACAGTAAAAACATGAGCTTGCTGGTACTGTTAGACTTTTCCAAGGCCTTCGATACGCTTAACCATCGACTGCTTGTTGCCAAGTGCCACTACTATGGCTTCGATGAAGTTGCCTGCAACTTTATTAGGTCATATTTAAGGGAACGTAGGCAAAAAGTAAATATCAATAATCAAATTTCGACACCAAGGTACATTCAGTCAGGTGTTCCACAAGGCTCAGTACTGGGACCATTGATGTTTTTACTTTACACTGCAGACTTACATGATAACTTCAAGAATACACATGCTCAATTTTTGCTGATGATACGCAGATGAAGTGTGATTTTAATGCCGACAATGTCCAGGAGTCCATGATGCTAGTAAATGCGGATCTGGATAGTGTTAATAGGTACTGCAGCTCTCACAACTTGAGACTAAATCCCTCAAAATGTTCTGCTATATTATTTGGCAATAAAAGATTATGTGAAAACCTTAAACCATTAATTCACATCAAAGTTAATGGGGAGGAAATTATTTTTTCTGAAATAGTAAAAAATTTGGGCATTCACTTTGACTCGGACTTACGTTTTAACTCCCATCTGAATAATGTCTTGAAAAAATGTTATCTATCCCTCAGGCTTCTATTTGCAAACAAACATATTCTGCATAGAAACATCAAAATTAAATTGTGTCAAAGTTTAGTTATTTCTAAAATGTTATATGGCTTATCCATATATTACCCATGTTTGACGTCTATTAACGCAAAACGTTTGCAGATAATGCAGAATACCTGTGTACGGTTTATCGAGGGCCTAAGAAAGTTCGATCATGTATCACACTTGTATCGTAATCTTGCATGGCTAAGCGTTCAAAACCTTTTCAAATACTCCATTATCAGCTTTACTCACAGGATCATATTAACATCATCCCCTCAATACCTCAGCTGTAAACTTGTTCCAAGGGCGTCTGAACATAATCTTCAGGTTCGTAACCGTGACACCTTAACTATGCCAATACACCGCACATCACTTTTTAGACGAACTTTCACATACAATGCAATTTTATATTACAATAGCTTAAGCCAGGATCTGAAGACTATCCAGTCCTCCCGGAGTTTTAAAACTCAGTTAAAAAGATATTTACAAGAATTGCAAAACAACCGCTAACTTAAGAAGTTCTTTCATTTTCATACTTTTTGTATTTTTCATTAATTATTTTTCCGTTTCTTCATAACCTATTATCTCTTCTTCTTTTTATAGCTAAATTGGCACAAATAGTCCTATTATAATGTAACCTATTATCTCTTCTTCTTTTTATAGCTAAATTGGCATAAATAGTCCTATTATACTGTGACTTAATGTTTGTAGTTTCACATTTATTTTTTTTTTTTTGTTTTTGTATAACTTGTTTTTTTTTTCACTTTTGTACGGGGTTAGATGGTGGAATAGCAGGTGCTAAATCTCGCCCCATGTAATGTACCATGTTTTTGGTCAATAAAGACGATTATTATTATTATTATTATTATTATATTTTAAAAACAAAAACTATACAGCATGAAAAATATTAAGAAAGAACAGCACATTTCAAGACTTTGGATCCCTTTCAAAAGACCTGTTACTATGCTCTAACCAAATCAAAAAACTGAGAAGTCATTTGATAAGAATTTGGTATCGTTGATCCTATTATAATATTTTTTAAGCTATATCTGAACATGATCAGCAATTTGCTAACTGTAAAATGTGACTCAACATGAAAAATATATAAATATGATCAATTAATAACTTAATGGTTGCATTTACCTAATCATCATCAAACATACTCATTTTGTTTTCCTTCTGATGTTCATTGGGATCTACGAGCCCCTTCCCACTTCAGTTGGCCCAACTATTGCAAACCTTAGTTTTTTATTATCAAACACAAATAATAAAAATGAAGCAGGGTGTTATAGGTTTAAAATATTAACAATGAATATTTCGATAATATATAGTAGAAAACACCAACTTTGTCACTCCCTAATTTGCAGCATAAAAATAACACATGTTGCAATTACAGCATATCAATCTATTTTCATTTCAATCCAAAATAAGCGTATAATGCATAGGTGGCTGTGAGGAATCAAAGCCATGACAGTTGTTTTTATTAATCACAGCTGTCAGAATACGTGTAAAATAGTTTTGGGTAGTTAAGGTTTTGAAAATGGGTAGAGAAAAGGTTATTAGTGAGAAAATTCGGTTACTTATAATTAACTTTTTTAATTCTGGGAAATCAAACAACTTTGTTAGACTTATTGCGGTACAGTGTGAGAAATATTGTTAGAAGATATAACGTAACTGGTTCAGTTAATATTAAGCCACGATATGTGAAAAAAAGTAATATCACAAATGCCGACCGAAGAGCATTAAGAAGAATAATCGTGAAAAACAGGCGTGCCAATTATTCACAATTAAGAGCTCTGTGGAGTGACGCTCTTGGAAGGAGAATTTCGAGGTCCACAACTCATAGGGAGGCCCACAAACTGGGATTTAGCACTTGCAAGGTAAGTTTTCTTATAAAAAAAAGTGAAGTAAACACCCTAAAGTTGCACAACTTGTTTATAGGCAAAAGAAAAGATACTATTAACTCCACTGCCAAAGAAAAATCGGCTTAGATGGGCTAAAGAACATAGACAATGGACACCTCAACAATGGTGTGCAATACAATGCAGTGATGAGGCCCGATTCGAAGTTTGTGTTGGTGACAGTTGCAGTAGAGTTATTCGCAAAAAAATGAAGCATTTCATGTTGACTGTCTGAAGAGAAAAGTGAAATTTCCAGCATCCATTATGGTCTGGGGCAGTATGTCATCAAAAGGAGTAGGAAAACTTCATTTTATTGACGGAAATGTGGATACAAACAAATATTTGGCAATTTTAGAATAATCGCTTTTACCAGTGATGGAAGAATGTTTGACAGACAGATGTTCTATTAGTTATAGGTCTAAGTAGTTTCAAATATGTATTTTTTACGACTAGAGTGTATCTAAAATGTTTTTGATAAAATAAATTGTTTTAGAAGTAAATAGTTTCGTCATGTTTAGTTTATAAAGGCATATTTTGGTACAAATCATGAAGTGGGCCAACTGAAGTGGGAAGGGGCTCGTACATGTTCAATGGCTTTTGCTTCATATTCCGAGGGGTCTTGATTTTTCTCATAAAGCAGAAAGCTGCTGTCTGACCCATATGAAGTTGTTCCACCAACAACAGTTAGTGGATCCACTGTGGAACAGAGTAGATCTTGGGATGTATTACCAGTTGTCTGTGAAGGCCCACCACCAGTTTTAAGTATTTCCATCTTCTCTTCTGCCTCCTGTTTCTGTAGGTCCCTTTTTTTATTGTCATATAGCTTTTTTAAGGAGTCCATTGTTCGATGCCTCTCTTCAAGGCAAGCTGCATTAAATTTTGCAGTAATTTTACTCCACGCTTGGTTTTTTCATGTACGGAAACACCTTCAGTTTTTTGTTTTCGATGATCCCTTTAAATTCCGTAACTATAGATAGAAGTAATCTAGTTTCACTTGTGAAATTGGCACCCCTCTTCCTCTTTTCGACAGCACTCATGATTCACAATATAAAACTTTGCAAAAATGAAAAATTCTTCCAAAAATTGAAATAACACCAACGCCGGCGTTAACATTGACAAATCAATCACTTAGCATCCACCTTACCTTACAACATAACCTCAATGTGGATATGTGAAATCACGTGAAATGTCATTTTCAGCACAAAACATCTACTATTTTCAGGCAGGGCAGACAACTGCATCATAACATGACAAAATCACTAGCTTCCTGTGTAGCTGTCAAGTTTAAGAAAAACTTAGTTAAGGAAATATGAGGCAACCCAGAATGTATTGGTGCAACACAGAAAATTTTAGGGATCCTCAAATTTTAATGTCTCCTTTGTAATTCTATCCTTAAGAAAATATATATTATCGTGCTGATAAGGTGGTCGACATCCTGTTGGGGTATCTCGTTCCAAGCTACTGCAACTTCGTGAGTAAGAGCTGCTGAAGTCTGTGGATGGTGTTGCAAATTCAAAAGCCTGCGACCTATCATGTTCAATGGAGATAGGTCAGGCGGTCGTGGTGGCCAATGTGAATGGTTAATGCGATATTGATCCAGAAAGGCTAATGATCCTCTGGCAACATGCGGTCTGGCATTGTCTTGCTGAAAAATCAGGTTTTGGATGGTGTTTAGGTATGGAATAAGATGAGGCTC